AACAATTATCTAAAGACAGAGGGAAGGGCTCAAACTAGCTGGAGGAGCACACACACACACACACACACACACACACACACACGGAGTTGGGGAGGACACGCATGCGCACACACACACACACGGAGTTGGGGAGGACACGCATGCACACACACACACACACACTCACACACACACATACACACACACACACACACACACACACACACACACACACACACACACACACACACACACACACACACACACACACACACACACACACACACAGAGCTGGGGACAAAGAGGCTGGAGCTGACCTGGGAGGAATGATTTAAAAGGGTAACAACATAAGACACTTAACTGAGACGCAGACAAAAGACACATGAGGGCGCTATGAGACACAGAAGGGAATCTAGAGAGGGATGGAGAAACATCAGGAGACACATGAAGGAAGACACCGACGCAGACCATGACAGTAATCCCCCCCCCCCCCCCCCCCCCCGCACTAGGGGCGGATACCAGACGCCCAAACATGAACAACCAACACAAAGCACAAGCCAAGACAACACAGAACATGAGAAAACCAGAGGGAAGGAGAGAAGGAACGAACAAAACACAACCCAAAAAGGGCGGGCGAGGAGGGAACAGGAGACCCCGGGAGGCCGGCGACAGGGGACCAAGAGGCGGGACCAGGGAAGCCTAGGGGGCCGGCGATGGGGGACCAGGGAAGCCTAGGGGGCCGGCGACGGGGGACCAGGAGGTGGGACCAGGAAACCCTGGGGATCGGTGGCTTTGGAGGAGGAGGACTAGGAAGGGTCTCTGGAGACAGGGGCTGGAACTCTGGAGACGGGGACTGAGACTGGAACACTTGAGACTGGGACTGGAACACTTGAAACTGTGACTGGAACACTTGAGACTGGAACGCTTGAGACTGGATCACTTGAGACTGGAACACTTGTGGGGAGACGGGGCAGTCAACTCAGACAGGAGACGGGGCAGTTGACTCTTGAGACAGGAGACGGGGCAGTTGACTCTGAGACAGGAGAAGGGGCAGTTGACTCTGAGACAGGAGAAGGGGCAGTTGACTCTGAGACAGGAGAAGGGGCAGTTGACTCTGCGACTGGAGAAGGGGAGACGTCGACTTCAGAGCTGGAGCTGGAGACGTCGACTTCAGAGCTGGAGCTGGAGACGTCGACTTCAGCGCTGGAGCTGGAGGCGTCGACTTCAGCGCTGGAGCTGGAGGCGTCGACTTCAGCGCTGGAGCTGGAGGCGTCGACTTCAGCGCTGGAGCTGGAGGCGTCGACTTCAGCGCTGGAGCTGGAGGCGTCGACTTCAGCGCTGGAGCTGGCGGCGTCGACTTCAGCGCTGGAGCTGGAGGCGTCGACTTCAGCGCTGGAGCTGGAGGCGTCGACTTCAGCGCTGGAGCTGGAGGCGTCGACTTCAGCGCTGGGGCTGGAGACAGGAGGCGTCGACTTCGAGACAGGAGGCGTCAACTTCAAGACAGGAGGTGTCAATGTCGAGACCAGAGCCTCGTGGAAGGACTGGACCGGAGCCTCGTGGAAGGACTGGACCGGAGCCTCGTGGAAGGGCTGGACTGGAGCCTCGTGGAAGGGCTGGACCGGAGCCTCGTGGAAGGGCTGGACCGGAGCCTCGTGGAAGGGCTGGAACAGAGCCTTTTGGACGGACTGGACTGGATCCTCTTGGTCGTGCTGGACCGGATCCTCTTGGACGGGCTGGACCGGAGCCTCTTGGACGGGCTGGGCCAGATGCGGTGCGTCCACCGGGACCACCGCCGAAGCAGGATGCGATGCATCCTCCAGGACTACCGCCGAAGCAGGATGCGCAGACGGCAGAAGAAACTCAGATGCGGGTTGTAGAGCAGGGGCCTCTTGGGTAGGCGGCACAACTCTGGTGTCTGATGATTTATTTGGTTCAGTCCTGGGCTGCAGAGCAGGGGCCTCTAGAATAGGTGGTACAACTCTGGCATCTGATGATTTATTTGGTTCAGTCTTGGGTTGCAGAGCAGGGGCTTCTAGAATAGATGGCACAACTCTGACAGCAGACGGCTTTAGGAGATCTGGCTCGGGCAGCAGAGCAGGTGCCTCTTGGGTAGGCGGCACAACTCTAGCCTTGGAGAATACCTTAAGCTCAGTCCTGGGTTGCAGAGCAGGGGCCTCTGGAATAGGCGGCACAACTCTAGTTTCGGACTGTTTCATGAGCTCAGGTTTGGGCTGCAGAGCAGGGGCCTCTTGGTCAGGCGGCACAACTCTGGCTGTAGATGACTGCGGGTGATGGTGGTGATGTCTGCGACGAGCACAACTCCTCTGAGGTGCGGGGCTGACATCAGCAGGTGCAGAGGACGAGTTACAGCCCACCGGAGAGGAAGTGGTGGCACTGTCAGGACCAGGTGAGGGTGTGGAGGTGTGGTCCATCAGAGAAGCTGAGATGGCACCAACATACACAGGGGAGAATGAGATGACGCAGGTAGAAACAGAAGACGGGTTACAGCCCACCGGAGAGGAAGTGGTGGTGCTGTCAGGACCAGGTGAAGATGTGGAGGTGTGGCACTTCGAAGATGCGGAGAAGGCAGCTCTTACAACGGCGCTTGCTGATAGATTATAATCCATAGAACAGGAGGGAGCTTGTGGGCTGCTGCAAGCGTCTCGCAGATCCTCAGCGAAGTCCCAAAAAACCAGCTCTTCTAATGGATTTTGCTCTAGGTAATGGCTGGCCCATTGCAGGGCTCTTCCCCTTAGGAGGAGCACCATATTAATTATCAATTCCGTGTCCATAATGTCCGAGCCATAATATCTCACCACGTCCAATATAAAAGTCCAACATGAATCCGGATCGCCATCAAGTGTACATCCGGGTCCGCTGGGTCCTGGTTCGTCGGTACATTCTGTCACGTTGCGGTGTTGGTAGGACGCAAAATGCAGGAACCCAAGATGACTCGAGGCAGGAGGTGATATAAGAAAATATCCTTTATTTGGATGAGCCCAGAACAACAAAAATAGATCCAACGGCAGGGAGCCAATAAGTCCAAAAATGTTCAATAACTAAGCTAGAGACAAAAACACAAAAGACGGCAAATACCTAAACACAAAACTAAACAACAGAGGTCCACGTGGCAGTGGTGAGGTGGTGCTCACTCCTCACCCCTGCCACATGGACCCAAGGGATAAACCATCAACCCTGCTTAGTGGTCAACTTTCCTCGCGGGGTCACACCCATTAGGACAGTGGGAGGGTTAATACCCTTGCCCGAGGTCCGCATTGCTGTGGACTTGAATGAAGTGCAGATTAAGGGTGCAATGGGGCGTGGTCAACTTCCACACTTGTGAATCGGGGCACCCTACGCACGCGCACCCCTGGTCGGGAATGCGCAAATGAAGGGTGCAAGGGAGGAAGTGCGAGTATTGAGATTGGACCTGTTTCTCATCTGGCCAGGTAAAACCTTAGGATCCCCTCAGAGGAGCTGGCGCATGTGGCTGTGGATAGGGAAGCATGGGCCTCTCTGTTTAGGCTGCTGCCCCCAGCACCCAACCCAAGAAGAGGTGGAAAATAGACAGACAGACAGACTCACCTAAAGCATTATTAGGAACACCTGTTCAACATCATCTTAATACAATTATCTAATCAACCAATCACATGGCAGTTGCTTCAATGCATTTAGGGGTGTGGTCCTGGTCAAGACTATCTCCTGAACTCCAAACTGAAGGTCAGGATGGGAAAGAAAGGTGATTTAAGCAATTTATGGTGTGGCATGGATGTTGGTGAACAGAATGAGAACATGGATCCATGATGCCTTGTTTCCACTGTGCAGGCTGGTGGTGGTGGTATCATGGTGTGGGGGATATTTTCTTGGCACACTTTAGGACCCTTAGTGCCAATTGAGCATGGTTTAAAAGCCACAGGCTACCTGAGCATTGTTTCTGACCATGTCCATCTCTTCATGACCACCATGTACCCATCCTCTGATGGCTACTTCCAGCAGGATAATGCACTTGTCATAAAGCTCCAATCATTTCTAATTGGTTTCTTGAACATGACAATGAGTTCACTGTACTACAACGACCCTCACAGTCAGCAGATCTCAACCCGATAGAGGTTGGGATGTGGTGGAACGGCAGCTTCGTGCCCTGGATGTGCATCCCACAAATAACCCTAATAATCATTTAGGTGAGTGTAGATAAAACAAAATATTTTGATCATGGTCAGAAATGAAATGCAAGCATCTCCCCATTCATGAAACTCACCACATGTCAGTGCTGGACACAATTGAAAACACCTTGACACACTTCAACACAACTGTAAACAATGGAACCACCCTGCAAATGGTAATGACCTGCAGTTGTATAGTGCCTATAGGATAAGTGTGGGTTTGCCCTGCCCACACTGCCCTGTACACAGCCAAATGGGAATCTTTGCTGGTGTGGCCCAGTCTCTGCAGCTTGGGGACCTAACTGGAGACACCTAGAGGCACTCAAATACAACTAGAGACACACTGAGACGCCTAAACACACATGGAAACAACTAATCACATCTAGAGATACCTATGCTACTTAAGACACAAACAAACCTGGGAAAACCTAAAAACATCCCAGCATGCGGGGATGGGGCCCATCTGTGTACACTGAAAAACACCTGGAGACACTTGAACATTCGTAGAAACACCTGAACACAACCAAAGACATCTAACACAAGTGGAGAGGCCTGAACATACAAGGAAATGTGTAATCACACCATATGATATCTGCACATATATGGAAACACTTGAAAAAATCTGAAGGTATCTTGGATTCTCAGCCAAAAGCATCTTGGCTGAGAGATGCTGCAGTCAGATGGACACTGTCCTAAGTAGTTTCCCCCCTTTCATATCTGAAAGAATCTGGATGCATATGTACACACCTATATTCACCTGACCACATGTAGAGACACAAAGAAAGACCTGAAGACACATGACCACACCTGAGACAAACACTGGAACACAAATAACAACACATTGGCACTTATGGGCACCTGTTCTAGCTCCAGAGGCTCAATCATTGGGGAGTCTTCTATCCGTCGGAATGGTGAAGAGGCCAGACGCTTGTTCCATTCTGTCAATCCGTCTTCTCCTGGCTCTCTCTCTAAGAATGAGCATCGCAGAATGCTGATGGTGGTCTGAGGGTTCTGAACCTCCTCTGGACTCCCCAATGTCTCCTGAAGACAATAAGCCAGAGAAAGAACTTCATTCATTCATTCATTCACTATATCTTAACTGTTTATTCCTAATAATAGGAAACAATAGTCTTTTGATCTCTGCCAGATCCCTGTCTTCATAGACACGAATACATAGATGATCCATTGGGCGCTGGGAAGCGTAAGAGCCTCGCAGCCATATTGGATGGGTTCCTCACTCTCCAAAAACTGAAGTCAACATAGAGTGAGAAACCATTAATTGTGCAGCTTACGGTTGCACAACCAGTGCACTATTAAAAATAGATCACATGGGATTACTATTAACTTTTCTTGCCTACGTGTTGGAATGTTATCTTTTATTTTTTAATTTAAATATCATGCCATACCACATGTCTGATTTGTTGAATAAGTATAATAAATGTGTTTTTCTTGTTTGGTAAACACCTTTATCAGTAGAGATACAGTGGGTACAGAATGTATTCAGACCCACTTATACTTTTTCACTCTATATGTTGCAGCCATTTGCTAAAATAAATTAAATTAATCTTTTCCTGATAAATGTACACAGAACCCATATTGACAGAAAAACACAATTTTAGACATTTCTGCAGATTAATTAAAAAAGAAAAACAGAAATATCACATTGTCTTACGTCAGGGTTTCTAAACCCTGGTCCTCAGTGATCCCCTGTCCTGCATCTATTCAATGTCTCTGCTACAGCACACCTCGTTCACATACAGTCAGGTACAAAAATATTGGGACATCGACACAATGCTAACATTTTTGGCTGTATACACCATCACAATGGATATCAACTGAAATGAACAAGATGTGCTTAAACTGCAGGCTATCAGCTTTTATTTGAGGGTATTTACATCCAAATCATGTGAACCGTGTAGGAATTACAACAGTTTGCATATGTGCCTCCCACTTGTTAAGGGACCAAAAGTAATGGGACAATTGGCTTCTATGCTGTTCCATGGCCAGGTGTGTGTTATTCCCTCATCATCCCAATTACAATGAGCAGATAAAAGGTCCAGAGTTCATTGTGCACTTAGACACAGAGCACTGTGGGGGGAAGTGTGTGTGTGTGGTGGCATCAGCTGGCGTAGGCCAGACAATGCCTGCACTGCCCGCTCACCACAGCCATGGAATACACCTCGTCAACATGCACTAACACTGTATTGGAGCAGGCGGAGGGAGACTAGGGGTCTTAGCACACCTCTGATATTAATTGGCTTCCAGGGGCTGGAGACTAGGTGGGGGAGCTGGCCGTCTGGTTGGGGTCTGGGGTGGGGGGTTGCTTTGCTCAGCGTTGGGCAGGGGAGCTTGCTCATCAGCACCCCAGCAGAAAGGGGCGAACTCTGGGAACCGGAGATGGTTGTACCCTTTGTGCAGCAGTACCAGGACCAGAGTGAATAGGGTGTGTATGGGAAGCATGAGTGGGTGTCCGGCGTGCATTTTTGTAAGTCTTGGGTTGTATGTGCATGTGTGAGCATGATGGAGGGAGTGTGTGACTGTGTTTGTGTATGACTGTATATGTCAGGTGAGGTCTTTGACTCCTCCACACTCCTGTGACTTTTTTGTGCTGTTACACATCTTCACCACCCCTTCCCCTGCCACATGTGGTGTGGAGTGTGGTGCCTTGGTCTGCCTGAGTGTTCGCGGCTTCCAGGTACGGGTGTTTAAGATTTTTGGCGTCTGTCTGATTGATCCCGGTGGCTGCCTGGTGGGATCTGAGTCCCTGGGATCTGCTGGGTTCCCGGCGGGGCTGGTCGCCCCTGGGTCCCAGGTCGCTCGGTCCCAGGCTTGGCCAGCTTGGGGGTGGGAGGCTGCGGGCGGGCCAGTGGGCTTGCCATTGATATCTCCCGGGACTCTGCCGGCTGCTGGTTGTGACCCCCCCGGGGCACCTCTCGAAAGAGGGCTGGGGTTTTTCTGGTTACAGTCTCGCTGGGCTCCCTGCGCTCTAGGGCAGCTCCTGGATCTCTGGGACTTGGAGCTCCCTCCATCTCCTACACATCTTTGGGGGTAGATCTGTTGCCCCTCACTCTATTGGACGCTCCTATAGAGAAACCTTACATATACAAGCGCATGTACACACAGGTATTCACAAGGTGCTCTCATAAGTATGGACTTGGGCATTTTCATCACATGTCTTAAGGCTGTGGTTGGCACTTATTGCACTGTGATTTATTATCGTGTGATTGTTTAGTAAGATAATGTTGACTTTATATTTCCTCATCAGGTTTTTGTTTTTCTCTTTCTTTAGGTCTAGAAGCAGACTTGTTCATCACTGATTGAAAAGAAAAAGAAAAAAAAGATATTGGGTGACAAGCTTGGTCATTCGGGACGGGCTCGAAGTAGACCCGCTGCTTCGCTACATCGAGAGGAGCCAGTTGGGATTCCCCAGAAGAGCTGGCACAAGTAGCTGGGGAGAGGGAAGTCTGGGCATCTCGGCTTAGGCTGCTTTCCCCGCAACCGGACTCCGGATTAGCAGCTGAAAATGGATGGATGGATATTACTTTTGTCAGATTTGAGTTATTTTTGTGACCATTG